TTCTCTTTGCTTTACCATTGTTATACTTCTTTAAAATGATCATATTTCTCTTCTTGCAAAAAGTAATATCTGTATTGTTTGTACTACACTTCTATCTGTTGTATTTTCATCGTAATTGCTTGTTGTTATTGCTATAAAATAAATACATTTTAATAAACTTAAATTGTTAAAGGGAGAGTTTGCGCAAAGTAAAAATGTACTCAATATTTACTCACCCTCAAGGGTTCGAGTTTCTTTCTACGGCTGAAGATATTTTAAAGAATGTTGAAAACCTGAAACCATTAACTTCCATAGTAGAAAAAATAAGGATTGCATTGTTTATAAGCTATTGTGCATTTATTATACCTGATTATTTTATTTAAAAAGGAATGTATTTTTACATCTTCCTTTTAAGGCAATTGAATTATAACTTATATCGTGTTTTAACATCATTTGTGAGAGTAGTTTGAATAAAGAAAGTTACAAAAGGTGCAAATTTGTATCTAAAATGTCCATATTAATAACCCAAGGGTATATTAGTACCTGAAAAGTACAAAAGTGTTCCTCTTAAAATTTTTAGGTACTAATATATAATTTTGAGGTACCAATATGGACCCTTTAAGTACAAGTATGTTTTGAAAACCACCTCCGCGTACCTTTATTTCTGAGTGTAGGAAAAACTAATGTAACATATTCTGTGTAAGCCAATGGTTACAGTTTTTTTCGGCTTTCTTCAAGCTACACTCAAAAATGGCTTTTACTGCTTGTGAAACCTACTTATTTAAAATGAGTTGAACCAACACAATTCTTACAGTTTTTTTTTTTTTTTGGGGGGTGGGTGGGGGGGGGGGGGTCTGCTTAATTGTTTTATGTTCAATCAACTTAAAATTTGTAAAAAAAATAAATAATAATAATAAAACGATTAAGTGCAGTGTTAAAATTTAATTAAGCAAAACAATTAAATTGAGTGAAACCCAGCATTTTTACAGTTTTTGTGTAAAACATAACAAAAATATTTATGAACTGTTTCTTTAAATTACGCAAAACTGTCTTACGTTAAAAACTCAAAATTAATGCAGATTATGCAATAGCTTTAAAGGACAATTATATTTAATTAAAAACACATTTTTATAATAATAATGCCTTTTTTTATAATATATTCAGGTATAATAAATGCATAGTATTACCAGGGGCGCCCCCAAGGGGTGCCCACCTCAGTATGATTTTGCTGCTGATATTATAAGTTTAAATGTTCTTACGTAAATTCACAATATTTCAATAAATAAATAAATAAAGAGCAGCCACAAAATTATTGTGGATTGATTGGTGCCACTGACGAAGCTGATTCACTGCCCCTCCCCGATCGTTGATGACAGCACGCGCACACTTTCAATAGTCAGAGATGGTAATTAAATATTTACCTTAAGGTGCATCAATAGAGGAAACTGTATTAATAATATTGCGGCTCAAAAAGGAATATGGAAAAATTATATTATTGTGTTACTGTGGTATTTGTTTGTTTTATTAATTAATTCATTATTTTTTTAAACCGGGCATATATGCTGTACAATAAGTGAGAAAAATAACTGAAAAGTTATATTCAGTTGAAGTCAGAATTGTTAGCCCCCTGAATTATTTGCCCCCTTGTTTATTTTTTTCCCCCCAGTTTCTGTTTAACAGAGAGACGATTTTTTAAACACATTTCTAATCATAGTAGTTTTAATAAATGTAATGTAATGTGTATTTATAATAACTCATCTCTAATAACTGATTTATTTTATCTTTGTCATAATGACAGTAAATAATAATTGACTAGATATTTTACACTTCTATACAGCTTAAAGTGACATTTAAAGGCTTAATTAGGTTAACTAGCCAGGTTAGGGTAACTATAGGCAAGTTATTGTGATGGTTTGTTCTGAAGACTATCGAAATTAGCTTAAAGGGGCTAATAATATTGTCCTTAAAATGGTGTTTAAAAAAATTAAAACTGCTTTTATTCTAGCTGAATTAAAACAAACAAGACTTTCTCCAGAAGAAAAAAATATTATCAGACATACTGTTAAAATTTCCTTGCTCTGTTAAAAATCATTTGGGAAATATTTAAAAAAGAAGGGCTTATAATTCTGACTTTATATGTATATGAAAAGTGTTTTTAAAATATTGATTTTTATTTGGCTTGCACATGTACTTGTTGAATTATTTCAAGGAATAAATTGCAAAATTTCAAGAGTAATAATTAAATTAATTAAAACCACATTATTTAATTTACCAGAAACTAAAATAGAACATTACACTGAATTCATTGTTTTTGTGTGTGTGTGTGTGTGTGCCACCCTTAAGATTTGTTGTGGCCTCTTTTGACCACCTTTAATAAAATTTTCTGGGGGCGCCACTAAATAATCCACTGTAAAAATATCCGTAAATTAGTTTTTCGCTATATTCTGATCCATTTTGTTATTTTTTCCGATTTATTTATACTTTTGAATTGCATTATGGGACTTTAATCTTTCTTCCAATAACTTTTAACCAAGAAAAGTTTGAAAAAGTTACATTTCTGAACATTTTTAATAGTTTAAAGTGATGTATTGTCTTGGCTGGTTTTGTATTACGCTACAAAAACCTTCTAATAAACTTCCAGCACATTTTCTGCTACAGACTTATTTCTCTCAATACCATTTCAATATATTAAATCAAGTTACTAAACCATCAATAAAATGCACTTTGTTCAACTGTAGAGTTAACATTAAAATTCGGCAGAGCAGATTAACATCCCTTAACGCAATTCACAACCGTAAAGCACTTGCGAATCACAAAATGCAAACTGTTAGCCTAATTACTAATATTTGTATTGTGTATGCTGCTGTAAATGATCATATACTTATTGTAATTTAATCACAGTGGTCAGGAATGAACAATAAAATGCACATAATAAAGCGCAGATGATAATATAGCATGATAACCGCGAGCAGTACGTGCTGAAGGACAACACTGTGTGTGTGTGTGTGTGTGTGTGTGTGTGTGTGTGTGTGTGTGTGTGTGTGTGTGTGTGTGTGTGTGTGTGAGTGTGTGTGTGTGTGTGTGTGTGTGTGTGTGTGTGTGTGTGTGTGTGTGTGTGTGTGTGTGTATGTGTGTGTGTGTGTGTGTGTGTGTGCGTAAGTGTGAATATATGTAAAGCAGCATTTCTTCAGTTTGTCCCGGCGCACAGAGCCAGTTCTCCGGCTTCCCACGCCTGATCAGGAGTCTGTCAGAGGAAGCAGAGCCCGCATGTCATCATCATTTCAATACAGAGGCCATGATTTACAGTGATTTACAGTGACGCTCGTTTGTCGCTTTTATTGCGGGGCTTTGATGTGCGGCGCGCGAGACCCTTTGAAGTGCACGAGCGCTTTCTGATGTAAAGAGGCACGAGCGCCGCTTTGGCTCCCAGAAAAACCTGGCCTCCAGGAGACACTGGCAACATTACTTTACCAACATCAGTATTGTCATCCTCATGTACAGTTAAAGACTAAATTATTAGCGATTGCTGTAAAATATGAATTGTTTTTTTCAAATATTTCCCTATTTTAGGTTTTATATTTCCTAAGAATATCACAATATTTATTATTTTTCTAATGGAAAATGTCCTACTTCTTTTAATTTTGCTGAAATAATTCTAAAAAAGGATTAGAATTATATATATATTTAGAATTAGAGTTATATATATATATAAACTTTAAAAGGTCAATAGTGAATATTATTAGCCGCTATTGTCTAATGACTTTTACATGCAATTTAAATTGAATACTTGCTGAATATCTTGCAAAATAACTAGTAAATTAATATGTACTGTCATTGTTTTGTTTATTTATCAATATTTATTCTATTTCCCTTATGAAGAATGTCCTATTTATTTCAATTTGGCTGAAATAATAGCAAAATAGAGATATATTTAAAATATAAACACTTCTAAGGTCTAGTCAATATTATTAGCTGCTATTGTCTAATGACTTGCTTAATTAACCCAACTTCAACCTAAGTTAAGCCTTTACATTGCAATGAAATACTAATATCTTGCAAAATAACTAGTAAAATATTCTGTTCTGTTTTTTAATATTACCCAAATATTCTTATTTCTTTTAGTTTTTACTGAAATAAAATAATTTACCTTATTGTAAACAATTCACCATTTATATATAGCCTAATTATTAGCATTTTAAATATGTCATTAATCATACTATTATTTAATGTTTTTTTTTTTTTACATATCTTTACTTTAAAACATTTAATCATTAAAACCACTCAAAAATGAGTGAGATTATTCAGTTTGGGTTCAGTGTATTGCTTAATCTCAATGATACGATATAATTATTGAGATATTATATATAAAATATAATAATAATAATTTATATTTTCAGTCAAAAATTATTTTATTTTGACATTTTATGCGAGGCTATAAAACAAATAAGCTAACAAATGTTTCTTTTATGTCATGGCTAAAGTTTTATTTAGTAATAAAATATCTAAACATGTAAATTTGAATCCATATTGTTCTTGTAGTGGTGTTTTATTCAGTCTTATTCAATCCATCATCCATCATTGTCCACCATCATCATAATAATGATCTTCATCAATTTCTCTTACATATCATCTTGATCATAGATTTTGGCTAATGATATTATGCATCACCCTATGGGTCACAATTTGACCTTAACTCAGTTTACTTTGCTGTAAATGTTCTGCTCGTGACCGACAGTGTGAACGCGCGCCGCGTCCCTCATTAATAAAGCGTTTGTCGCGTCGCGTCTCCAGCGCAGAGTGAAGTGGCGTCAGAAATCCAGCATTTGGGCCTTCATCTGTCTCTCCTCCAGCTCTTATTTGCTGATTTCTCACCCTTCCGGGCCGTCAGCGGCACCTGTTCGCGTGTCATAAATCAGCTCAGGTGGGTGTCCCGGCGTGACGTCAGCGCTGGGCAAACAAACCCGCGCTCGCGCTCGTCATGTAAGGTGAAGTTCAGTTAAAGAAAAACTTCCAGCTCGCGAGGAAAATGTCCGTGAGCTACCTGCTGGACACGGCCATGTACGGCAACCCCGCGAGACACCTGAACCTCAGCCAGCCTCACCTGAACGTCTACCCGTCCGCCCCGTACCCGGACTACAGCGGATACCATCCGGGACCGGCGCTCGGCAATGACCTGCATCACACCGGCAGCTCATGGAGTCCGGGGTTCGGGCCCGGTTCGCGCGATGATTGGCCCCCCCTGTACGGCCACGGGACGGGTCACTCTCTGCCGGCTAACGGGGTGGAGGTCAGCGTGCTGCCATCTGTGGATCAGGGGCTGCTGAGCGGAGCGCCGGTGGACAGAGAGGAGCCGCAGGACTGGATGAGGCGCAGCGCGGTGCCGACCAACCCTGGTGAGAGATCAGCCCCTCAGCTGACCCCCAAACCCATCAGCACACTACACATTACTGAAAAAGGTTCGAAATGTAATGGGTAATGTTCACTCATCATGCGTATAATTGAGTTAAAATAGGGTTTTATGAATTATACCACACAGTATTACTTCTTTTGAACAACAGCATTGCTTTTTCTTCACAGTAATAACACACACTCCAAAAATGCTGGGTTGTCTTAACCCAACACAAACTCAAAATAAATAAACCTGGGTTTTGTCCACATTTTACTCAATTTTGGGTAAATTAAAGCCAGCATTTTACAGTGTATAATTTGATAAAAAAAATATAACATATTAAAGGGCTGTGTTTTACTTCAATACATTTAATAAAAAAAATAACTCAACCTTAGTTTCCCAGAGATGGGTTGCGGCTGGAAGGGCATCCGCTGCGTAAAAACTTGCTGGATAAGTTGGCGGTTCATTCCGCTGTGGCGACCCCGCATTAATAAAGGGACTAAGCTGACAAGAAAATGAATGAATGAACTCAACCTTAGGTTTTTCCACATTTGACCCAAATTGGGTTAATAAAATTCTTTAGTGTATAATTTGATAAAATGGGCAATATTTTTTTTACATATATATATATACGTATAAAAAAAATGCTGGGATGTTTTAACCTAACACAGGGTCAAATATGGACAAACTCAACAGTTGTAATTTAATGCAACTTACATTTAATTAAAAAATAACTTAACCTTGGATCTGTCAACATTTGACCCAACATTTTTTAAATTTACAGTGTATTATTTGATGCATTATAACATGGCAGTGTTTATATTTATACAATATCATTGGTAATATTGCCTATA